AACATAATCTTTGATGGAGTGCTTATAAATGACATCACGTTTTACTGTCTCCATTAAGCATCCACATTTCCTTTTGTGGATTATTGATTTGGAGTTTAAAAGTCTATTTAATTGTGATCGGAATTGAATGCACTTGCTGACTTGATTTTTAATTGGTTTTTTCAATATCTTAATTTTGTTTGTTTTTAATTTATTCGAGACAATACCGTTATTTATGTAATTATTTAGTAGATTAATTGCATTGCATGTGTTTGGGTTCGTCCTTGGAGTATCCACTGCCGATAGCAATAACCAATCTCCTTGCTACATTGGAGACACCTTAAAGTGTGGGATAGCTGGCCCCAAGATTTAATACAGTTGTATACACAAGGCAGGATTAATTGCATTGCATGTGTTGAGTAATTCAATTTTTGCGGTTATCTTCTGCGACCAAAGTTATTACCACTAGTTCTGCGAAACTCAAGTACCTATGTGCAACCCAAATTATTTTGGTTGGATTGGAAAAACGTGCTTCACAAGTATAGTCATTAATGCGGAAGGTTGATTTTATGTGAATGAAAGGTCACAAACTAAGTAGATAATTTTAAAATTTTTCCACCGGTGCAACATATATTGTTGAGAGATTAGTGTAATGAGAGACTTTATATTAACAAAATTTTGAGGAAATTAATGATAGTATGATTTTGATAATATTGTTTTTCATGAATAAATAAGAGAAAATATTGGTTGCTTCATAATGAGATGTAAATATAATGTATGTAAAGATGTGAGGAGAATAATTATGAGACATCATTTATGAAATTACATAAGTAATTAATTTTTGAGAATTTCTTCTCGATGGTATAAATAAATATGATTAACATGATAACCTTAATGTACATCAATTTATGTGATGACGAACATTTAACTCTATATTTTAGAGATATTAGTTTCAAGGTTTTCTCAATTTTTTTTGTTACCATATAGTTGGTGATTATATATTTTATTTACTTTTGAAGTAATATATTGATCTATATGACATTACATAAGAGATAGTGGCAATTGAGTGTCATTTGAGTATCTTAATTAAATGTGTAATTATAATATTAATACCTTTGTGTTATTAGTGATGTGAACTTTTGAGTTTAATTTTTAAAAGTTATAGTAATTTATAACACAAGTCATCGGAGATAATGTGAATTGCTAAAAATTTGAGTAATTTTACTTGGTTATCGTGTCAAATGTGATATTTTTCGTGTTATAAATTTTATATATAATGATTATATGCTTAAGGGTACCATAGGCTGTGATATTTAACATTATGAATTTTCATTGTATTAGAAAATACAATGATGATTAACCGGGTCTTAGATTCATATGACATAAAATTCACTAATAATGTATTATTACACCTTGTTGTTGTGAAATTAATTTAAGATCGACCAAATACAATTGTTGGATTTTTTACTTTGAAAATGGTTGATTATGAAAGATAGTGGTTAAAAACCTCTTAAAAAATATTCTATTGAAAATATATAATTAAGAAATAAGAAATGATATGATATAACATTTACTTAAAAAGATTGAAAATTATTATGTGTAGTTAATAATTGATTTGGTCAATCCATTGACTTTAAACTCTTTGGCAAGAGAATAAGTCAAACAATTGAGAATAAGATTGATATGATATAACAAACAATGATAATAACTCGACTTTTGTAATTGGAGATTTCATGAAAAAGGTTCAATGGAAAAAATAAGTCAATTGTTTGTTTTGTTAGCACTAAAATTGATTAATTTATTTTTAATTTTTAATTGTTTGTTCTGTTTGCATGAGATCTTGCTGACGACTTTTTTTTACTGAAATAATACTTTTTTAAATTTTTTTACTCAAATAGCCACTGTGCAAAATTATTTACACCACTTGCACTGTTTACTGTTCACGTTCAGAACGGGCCGTTCTGATATCAGAACGGGTTGTTCCAAATGTAAAAATAACACATGACGAATGGAACAGAACGGACCGTTCTGGTATCAAAACGGCTCATTCCATTTTTAAAATTAACACATGAACAGTGGAACCAGAACGGCCTATTCTAAATCTGGAACGGGCCGTTCTGGCCACTTCTTATGGGATGACATACGGAACAATAGACGTGAGCACACATTGATGGGTTATCCAATGCAAGGTCCATTGTTTCACACACGAGAATACATGGAATGGTATATGGCCATATCCATCTATTTTCTATCTGTGCCACGACTACTATAATGCAAGCTCCGATAAGCTAGACACCATCAAATATCTCAAAACCAAGAAGTACATGTCCTCAACCATTCTTGGGCTTGGCAAGGCTCACAATCAATTAGTGCCAAACTCATATAGAGCACATGTTGCTCTATGGAGGTTCCATGTTTGACGTGACCATGCTAACATTTGATGACTTAACCATAGAGAGCTCCTAGAGCTATCAAGCGCAACATGGTCAACACCATGACTAACACATGGCCATAAAGAGAAACCTATGCTTTTTGAATCTTTTGTGCCTAATATAGAAACTCCTAAAAGTATTAATAATAATACTTGTTATGCAATGTAGTGTATCACTAAGGATACTAAGGACAATAGTGACAAGTTTTATTTCATTGTTAGTCGTGAATCACTTACTATCAAATCGACACTATACAGTCAATGATGAAATGACATGATTTTATTTTCCTTCTCAGTAATTTATTTGAACTTTCTTAGTATATGTTTTGTTATGAATTTTTGTTTGTAGTCTCTGAACCATATTTCAGTTTTTGAATTTATGTTATATTATGAATTTTTGTTTTCAATCTCTGAACCACATTGCTGCATTGTGTTGAACATACATTGACTTTCTGGAACGGTTCGTTCTGAATCCAGAACGGCCCGTTCTGCTGCACTCGTTGTGTGTTAAATGTTGTATCTGGAACGGCCCGTTCCAGGTGAAAAATTAGCACATAAATAGTGCATCCAGAACGGGCCGGATTGAAAATTATTATGTGTAGTTAATAATTGATTTGGTCAATCCATTGACTTTAAACTCTTTGGCAAGAGAATAAGTCAAACAATTGAGAATAAGATTGATATGATATAACAAACAATGATAATAACTCGACTTTTGTAATTGGAGATTTCATGAAAAAGGTTCAATGGAAAAAATAAGTCAATTGTTTGTTTTGTTAGCACTAAAATTGATTAATTTATTTTTAATTTTTAATTGTTTGTTCTGTTTGCATGAGATCTTGCTGACGACTTTTTTTTACTGAAATAATACTTTTTTAAATTTTTTTACTCAAATAGCCACTGTGCAAAATTATTTACACCACTTGCACTGTTTACTGTTCACGTTCAGAACGGGCCGTTCTGATATCAGAATGAGTTGTTCCAAATGTAAAAATAACACATGACGAATGGAACAGAACGGACCGTTCTGGTATCAAAACGGCTCATTCCATTTTTAAAATTAACACATGAACAGTGGAACCAGAACGGCCTATTCTAAATCTGGAACGGGCCGTTCTGGCCACTTCTTATGGGATGACATACGGAACAATAGACGTGAGCACACATTGATGGGTTATCCAATGCAAGGTCCATTGTTTCACACACGAGAATACATGGAATGGTATATGGCCATATCCATCTATTTTCTATCTGTGCCACGACTACTATAATGCAAGCTCCGACATGAAGATTATTGGCTAATAATGACAAGCCTAGATAACCTGCACATCACACTAGGAAGACATGTCCAAATAATGTATAATTATAATAGTTTATAAGCGACATAGTGCATTAAAAGTAAAAATACATAACATTAAAATTCATATTACATTGATAAAGAGACATAGTGCATTAAAAGTAAAAAAACGATAACATTAAGATAGAGTGAATTATATAAGTTTTTTAATCTCCGTAATGGTGTTCAGTTCCACAACAAGGGCGATGTCTG